CTTCGGCCGGGGGGGGGGGGGGGGGGGGGAGTTAGGGGAGCTGTGAGCTTGCCTTCCCCCAGCTCAACCTTAGCTCACTGCTCATGCTTAAATGTTTGGTTGTGTGAGGAGAGAGCAGCTGAAGCTTCTCCCCTTTTCCCCCAATGTATACAGCCGTGGTCACCAACCAGTAGATCGCGATCTACCGGTAGATCTCAGGGGCTCGAAGAGTAGCTCTTGAGCCCTCTCTGAACTGCGCACCTGCGCAGTACATTTACATTAGATTTCATCATGTAATGTAGGCAGGGCTTCAAGGAAGGGGCGGGGCAGTAGATCTTCACCTGTTCTGAGACTTAAAAAGTGATCTTGGGTGTAAAAAGGTTGGAGACCACTGGTATACAAGGACTAAGGTGTAACCTTATGAAAGTGTAACCTTATGTATGATTAACCAATGAGCCTAGGCTCATCTGTTAATGTGCACAGTTACACACAGCACACACTGGAGCTGCTACCTCTGTATCAGAGGCAACAGCACAGTGAGAGGAGGAGAGGACAGGAAGGAACCAGTATGTACAGGGAGCTGACTTTTAAGCTGGCTTGTTGGGAGCTGCCTGACCTTCCTCTCCCACACATGCAACTGCTGAAGGTTTCAGTTTTTAAATGTTTACTTTAAAACAATTTAACATCCCTAACAGGGACTCAAATTGTTACCGAGAAGAGACAGGATTACCAGGCAGGTAAAAGGGGCTAGCTGGAGTGCCACCCTCCTGGGAATGCCCCAATCCTATGCCTTCCACACTATGCTCTTTAGGGGGGACAGAGGAGCTGCAGTTCCCTCCTCCCATTACTGGCTGTTCCTCTTTGTCAGGGAGGAAGGGGAAAGTGAACAATTTCCTCCATTTCTCAATCTGCCTGAGCAATGCAGGAGGCAGATGAATCTGGACCTGCCCCAAGCAAGGGACATGCACCCCTCCCTTGCCTGCTGGAGCTGTAGTAGCCATGAACAGGTACTCCTCATCAGACCCTAAGATGCTGTGGTGAGAGAGGGCTGGGGTAGTTCTCTCCCAATGAGACAGCCTGCATCCTGAACCCCTCATCTCTAGCCCCACTCCAGAATAATTTAAAATGAAGAAAAACAAAAATGAATTGAATTAAGGACCTGAGCAATCATGGGTAAATCCTCTAGCATGTATATACGATCAGGTGGTTATGCAGCTGAATTCTACACCAACATAGAATTCTTATTTGGTACCAATAAGCAGGTGAATATAATGAAATCTGATCCCAGCATCAGCTGCTAATGACTTCTTGTACTCTGGGTCCCTGAAATTTCTTCCAATGAAATTTCAGTCCTTCTGCTTATCCTTTGCTGAGTCATGAAAGCCAGTTCAGCATCCTCCTGCTATTTTTTACCAAAAATAATAATAATAATAATAATAAACAAAAAACAAAAAACCACCACCCAAACAGAAATGTGTGTTTGTTTTCAAAATATTAACACTGTCAATGTTCACTTACTGACCAAGTAAAGTCTCTCTGAAGGGCCGTTTCCCACAAAGCATTTTCTAGCCCTGACAGGCAGATGCTGCAGATGGCAAAACAAAACAAAATCCACTAAAATAACCTCAGCCATCCCCAACACAGCTAAAACTATGAGTGGCCACGCAGAACACCAAGGACTAACTATTTACCATTTTTCCTGTTTGTCCCCAGATTACAGAAGTAATGAGTGATGGAGGACAGTTCAGCATTCAAATTCATCTTTACAAGATTCATGAAGCTGTGCTTTCACATCTTTCCATTCATTACTATAAACAATCTTTTTTTGTTGTTTTAAAATACACTGACGAAGTTTATGCAATATCAGTACAACTCCATAATTTCAAACCTTTACCCTGAAATTTGGACAGTTTGCTGTTAGGCTTCACCCTATTCCATGATCACTTCTGTATTTAACTTGCCTGTGCAGATTTTTTTAACCCACTATTTGAGGGCATCAGGGATTTGAAGTCTATGCTTTAAATTAATCAATTAAAGACATATTTACACTAGGAAAATATGCTTAAATGCTTCCTACCATTGTTAGCACTACTTTCAGTGTTACCAACTTCAAGATTTTTGCTAGGCCGCTAGCTGCCATCTGAGTTAACCACCTGTTAGATTTTTTTCAATACAGATGTGCCAGTCCCTCTAATCTTCAGTTGAAAAAAACCTTTTCCAAGGAAGTCTGATTGTCCTGATGGATAAAAATCCATCTACATCACTGCCAGTGTTATTCTGATGGAGCTGAACTAGCTTTAGCAACAGTTTAAAAGCTTTGGAAAAAATCTCCTAGAGCCTAAATCATCAGTCCTACACAGCAAAACAGGAAGTAACTGAAATGTACTTACAATAAAAAGGGGAACTGGAAAATACCAGGTTAAGTCACATGTTTACAAACACTATTCTAAGAAACATCAGTGTCAGAATTAAGTCAGTATACTGAATCACACCAACCATATAGGAAAACAACTCTTGCAAAATATTTTTTGGAATTTACATCAAGAATATACATTTAATAATGAGCTCATCACACTGACAGAGAAATGACTGGAAATTGAAACTAAACAAATGAACACTGGGCATAAACTCTTAACAGGGAGAGCTGTTAACCACAGGAACAATTTACTAAGAGTCATGTTGGATCTTTTAAATCAAAATTCCATGTTTTTTTCTAAAAGATATGCTCTATTAATTGCTTAAGGTAAGTTTGTGGACTGTAAGACACACAGAGTCAGGCTAGATGATCACAATGGTTTCATCTGACTTTAGAATCTGGGAATAAGCAAAATTCAGTAGCTAAATTTACAATAATTATGGGTGTTAAACTGACAGACAAAAACAGTTTTGTACTAAAAAGCCACTTGTAAAGTATTTGTAAATACCTCAAAATCTGTATATTTAATATAAACACTTTGAATAATGTCCTAAGTTGGATTAACAGAGTCCTAACTTAAAAAGCAAAGTTCTATGATCTGTATTAGGCAGACAGCCAAACTAGTGGATCAAATAGTCCCTCTTCTGGCCTTCAAATCTCTGATTCTCTACAGGCAGGTAGCACATTCCCCACAAGCTGGCTGACTCAAGGCCAGTGTTCCCTATAAGCTTGTGCAGCTGCTCAGGAGATTCAGATGCCACCCAGCTAATTAGCAGAGCACCCTCACATAGCCTTTTTTCTTTGTACTGGTGGTGCACATTCACACACACCTCAGGGCATATACATTTATTCTGCACATGAATGGAAAAAAATTAGAGACACCATTGCTCAGAACCACCAGGCCCAGTCACCAAGCATTCCCTTCTCTCCAGAGCCCAGACTTCACCTGGTCAGCGCCGAAGGGAGTGATGTTGGCTTTGACAGAGCCCACGCTCAAGCCCACGAGGACCAAGCCGGCGAAGACCAGGGCGGAGCAGTAGCGGGTGGCTCCCTCCGGGGCGCAGGGGGCGAGGGTGGCGTTGGCAGGCGGGGAGGAGCAGTTCTCGATGGGGGAGGGAGGGATCTTCCCGCCGAGGG